AAGGGAGGAAAAAAGGAAGGAAAAGAACAGGAAGGAAGAAAAAGAAAGGGAGGGAGGGAGAAAATAAGGAAATAAGGAAGGAAAAGAATGGGAAGGACTGAAAAGAAAGGAAGGAAGGAAGGAAGGAAGGAAGGAAGGAAGGAAGGGAAGGACGCAGGGAGGAAAAAAGGAAGGAAAAGAACGGGAAGGAAGGAAAAGGGAGGGAGGGAGGGAAGAAATAAGGAAATAAGGAAGGAAAAGAACGGGAAGGAAGGAAAAGGGAGGGAGGGAGGAAATAAGGAAATAAGGAAGGAAAAGAGTGGGAAGGGATGAAAAGAAAGGAAGAAAGGAAGGGAAGGACACAGGGAGGAAAAAAGGAAGGAAAAGAATGGGAAGGAAGGAAAAAGGGAGGGAGGGAGGAAATAAGGAAGGCAAAGAACGGGAAGGAAGGAAGGTCCCTTCCAACTTTCTGCTTCTCTTCCTGCCAAAGCAAATGAAGCCAGCCCCATGCGAGCATTTGTCAGATCTCACGAGCAGATTTCTTACGACCGAGCGGCTTTGGAGAAGATGCATCGGGAAGTGAGGCGAGGAGAACGGAGATCCTTCTGGTTGGAATTCCACGCGTTTCAAAGGTTCGGCGGCAGCCTTACGAGGTCAATTGGGGTTAGTCATATTGATGATGAGAGATAAAAACAGCGGTTTAATGGCGGGTTGCAATGGAAACCCCATTTCAGGATCTTTAGGCTGCATCTCTGGAAGGACACAAGCGCTTTTGCTAAGGATCCTGAGATTGTGATGAACGATACCTCCGAACCGGCGGATGTCTCCTTCGTTTATTCGGGCACCCTACAAGGTGAAGTGTGCTTGGGAAGAGGTTTCCCCCACCCCACCCCCGCTTCTTCTCTCCCTATTATTCATTTATTCACAGAATTTTTATATCCAATACTCTCCCCTCTTCATCTATTTGCTTCTTTCCCTTCCCTTCCCTTTTTTCCTTTCCTTTCCTTCCCTTCCTTCCTTCCCCTCCCTTCCCTTCCCCTCCCTTCCCTCTCTTCCCTTCCCTTCTTTTCTTCCCTTCCCTTCCCTCCCCTTCTTCCCTTTCCTTCTTTCCTTTCCTTTGCTTCCATCCCTTCCCTTCTTTTCTTCCCTTCTTTTCTTCCCTTCCCTTCTTTCCTTCCCTTCCCTTCCCTTCTGTTCTTCCCTTCCCTCCCTCCCTTCCCTTCCCCTCCCTTCTTTCCTTCCCTTCCCTTCTGTTCTTCCCTTCCCTCTCTTCTCTTCCCTTCTTTTCTTCCCTTCCCTTCCCTTCTTCCCTTTCCTTCTTTCCTTTCCTTTGTTTCCATCCCTTCCCTTCTTTTCTTCCCTTCTTTTCTTCCCTTCCCTCCTTCCCTTCCCTTCTTCCCTTCCCCTTTTTCCTTTCCTACCCTTACCTTCCTTCCACTCCCCTTCCCCTTCTTTTTTTCTCATCTTTTCCTTTCCTCTTCCCTTCCGTTCTTACCCCTCCCTACCCTTTCCTTCCTCCTCTATTTATTTCCTTCCCTTCCCGTCTTCATCCAATCTTTTTTTTAAAAAAAGCTCTTGGTTCTTAAAGAAATATTGAAAAGATCCTTGCAAGCATGTTATGGTTCCTGTTGTCATTCTGGCCCCACCGTGGACTTTCTGTTCCGATTTGAACCCAATTGATGGAGTTGGGGCATTTGCCCTGCTGAGAGGGGTGGAGTCGGCGCAGCCTTGTTTACTTACGCAGATACGTCGTAAAACTGCACCGCTTCGTGGCTTTGTCGGCGTGATCACCCACCTGCTTCTACTTGTAGCTTTTTTCTGATATGACTAAAGTGACTTTTCGACAGGAGATGCAGCTTCTTCCTGCCACGGGTCCATCGTCCACGGCGCCTTTGAGGGATTCATCCAGACGCAAAATGGCACCTATTACATTGAATCTGCTGCTGTGGTCAAAGAGCCTCCCCGGGCCTTTTCCTTCATCTATCACCAGAGAGATTTAGGTGAGAACGTCGAACACCCCAAGGATTGAGCCCAGTGGTGGGGTTCATTATTTTTGCTACTGGTTCTGTGGGTATGGCTTGGTGGGCGAGGCAGTGAAAGGTTACTGCAAAATCCCCATTCCCTCCCCACTCCACTAACCTGCTTTCCAGCTCCGTTCTCCTGTGCAGGGCAACCAAAGAAGGCCCAGCCGATCAGCTAGGACTTGGGAGGCAGTGGGGGAGGGGCCAGTCAGAGATGGCATTTGCTGGTTTTCTGAACTACTCAAAATTTAGGCTACCGGTTCTTCAGAACTGTTGAGAAGCTGTTGAATATCACCTCTATATCTATCTATCTATCTATCTATCTATCTATCTATCTATCTATCTAT